GGGGGTATGGCACAGGGCTAGTTGAGGGGACGGCGCATGGCTGGAGCTGCTGCACGGGCGGCCGCGCCGGCTTCTGTGAGCACGTGCGATTTCTTGCAGCTCGTCGCCTTTGGGGGTGTGTGCTTGTTGCGCATCTTTTAGTGCATGGCGACTGCGCCGCGGACCACTACTTTCAGCTCTGCCCGTCGCGGCTGTGCGAGAGCGTGCGGGGCCCCATTTCGCCCCGCCCCCCTCTCTCCCCTCTTCACCCACAGCACACACCCTCACTACCTCACACATACACAAACACACACACACACACACATACACAGCACACACGCACATGTGCTTCATTCCCCCCGCCCGTGCCCCCTAAAGGTATGTGAGCGGCGAGACCCTGGTGGTGGACGGCGCCGCCTGGCTGCACCGGCCGCAGCTCGTGCCGCGGGAGTCGGTGTCACAGGTGTCGCGCCGCGTGGAGGGGACCAGCCGCAAGGTAGGGGTCGCGGGAGACGGCGGCGGCGGGGCTAGGAGCAAGCTGTAGCGGGGGCCGCGGAGGTGGGGGCGGCGGCGCCCCTGCGTGGTGGCATCTGCATGCAAAACGTGTAATTGTTTTTGGATCACGTCATGAGGTCGAGCCGCTGCGTGTTGGTTGGCGGGGCGCGGCCTGCCGGGCTCCTTGCATACAAGAGGTGCCGCAGTGTGCTGTTTGAGCTGAGCGTGCAGCGTTACTGCGTCTGCGCGTGTCCGTTCAGCGAATTGTCTGTGCCACGGGCCGCTCTCACCGGGGGCTTGGTTTGTGGAGTCAACGCAGGGCTGGGCAGAGCCCACAGGAGGGGGACCCAAAGCATGCTCACTTGTTACACAAGCATGTCCAGGGGCGCAGAAACGACAGAAAGCAGCTAAACAATTCACCAATTGATGAAACGACAAGTGTATAGTAAATTCAAATGAAACCACCGCGGCAGCTCGAACCCCTCTGCTCACTGCCGCCTGCCCATTGCGCGCGCCTGCGCGTCTGCCGCCCGCGCCGCGTCCGCACCCATTAGCCGGTCTAGCAGGCCGGCCACCTTCTCGCGCGCCTCCGGCGGCAGGGGCGGGTTCTGATGCTGCTGCTGCTGTTGCTGCCGCGCCGCCGCGAGCTGGGGTGCCCCGGGCGGCCCGCCGCCGCTCGCGCCGCCGCCGGCAGCGCGGCCGCCCCATGCCTGCTGCGTGCGCCGCAGCTGCGAGGGAGGCGTCCGAAGGAAGAGCGGGCGGGGGTGAGGGAACAACGACGACGGTGGGCGGGCCGTCTCAAGCTTGCCAGCGGTGACGCCCCCTGCGCAACTCTGCGCCCGCTCCACCACCAAAATGGGCCGCCCCAGTGTCCCTGGGGGACAGCCCCTCGCTGCTGGCGGTGCGCTGGGCTGCTTTGAAGCGGCGACAGGGCCCACGATGCCCGCCCATACCAGGGTTCGCAGCGGCGTTACCTGTCGCGGTCAACCCGCCACAAAGAGGCTTCAACCGCTTGGATAAAGGCAGCAGGGCCCCCTACATCCACTACACTCATTTTCCTCACGCACGTGCACGCACGTGCACACACACACACACACACACACACACACACACACACACA